TGATGCATAGGGGGTGGGGACGCTCGGGGTGCCTCTACAAGTGTCTGCACCCACAGAGATCCTGCCTGGCCAGGTGGGAAGGGACCAGCACTCATCTCTGTCCCAGCTGCAGCTGGAGAACAGCACTGCTTCTGCCAGGCTCATTTGTACTGAGATGATCACCTTTGCAGCCTGCCAGCCCCTGCCGCCAGCTGTTCAATGAATTCCTCCAGGGAGACTTGCCACCAAATTACCTCTAATCGCTCTGTTTCAGTTGCATTTAAAAACACAGCCTTGGCAGGATTTGTGCGTGCCCCTGTGTTTTGCTGCAGTATTTAGCTCTGTGGTACCGGCTCTGCAGGAACCTAAAGCTCCTTATTTTGCAGATGGCTGGGCACAATGGATACAATCAAACTGAGAATGCTGATACCCACCACAGCCCGGGGCTGGGAAATGGCTGGGAGGGCAGCTCTCCAGAGAAGAATATGCCTCGTGGCACAGCTGGGCAGCTGTCTTCACTGCCTGGGACAAAGCCATTTCCCTTGTAAGTCAAGTGAACGCAGGTCAGGTCTGTTTGGAGATGGGCAGTCCTGTGTTAAGACTGTGAGCTACAAGGGACCTTGTAGAACCCCCTAACTGTGGCAAGCAAGTGAAGGCAAACCGCCCCTGGTTTGGCACTGCACCCATTCCCCATCACTCAGAGTTTGATGCAACATTTATCCCTAGGTTTGCTTAATTGCAAACAAGGGTTTTCTCTGCAAAGTTTTCCAGGAGTGTGGAAGCTTTGTGGCTCGATGGATTAGTAACAAGCTGCTTCTGAGCTGGACACATGTACAGTTTAAACTCGAAAGCGCTTTGGACAGCTTTCTGCAGACCTTGCTGGAACATTCTCGAGGGCTGTCAGAGGAAACCTAGCAATTGGCAGGCCAAATTAATCGCCTGGAGATTGTAAGGATGGAAGGGACTGTAACAGGATCTGCCACAGAGAGTGCTGACGAGTGCTGAAGCAGCAGTTCCTTCAGTGTCCTGTAGAATCAGCACAGGCTTGACAATGACTCCCTTGAAGGGTCTGCTAGCAGATTCTTTGCACCCTGCAGGGCTGGGGGGCATGAGCAGACTGGAGGGACGCTGGGGGGAAGGGTCACCATGCAGGAGGGGTGGTTAGTATTCTGCATGCCTTTCCTTCCAGGAATTTATCACCCCTGAAATCATCCCTGCCAGATCTTCCATGTAGCTCTGCTGCAGACGTTTTGTTCTCCAGTCTCGCCTGTGACGTGAAACCTGCTGCTGCTTTGCAGGACTCTTCACTGGCAAACCTTTTTGTTCCCTTAGCTTCAATTAAACCAAGTAAGAGCAAAGGTTTCTGTGTTCCAGCCCTGCTCAATGCAGCCTACCCCCTGATCCCCAGCAAGTAGCAATTTTGCCATGGAGCAGCCTGAAAGGCAGAGACAGCTGATAGGGTGATACCCATGTCCCTGGCTCCCTGCCCACCTCTGGCTGACAGATTCCAAGCCCAGGAATGAGGGGGCACAGTTCTGGTGATGCCCCTGCAACCCCTTGTGACCTTTGTGTTTGAAATCTCCCGGTGGAGTCATTGCATCTTCCCAGCTGCTCTCCCCTGTGAAGGTATAGATTCACCCTTGAGCCTGAGTACAAGGGACCCACCCTTGAAATGGCCTTGGGTTCCCTGCTCACTAGCCAGGCTGCCTCTTGTACATTAACTTTGCAGCGGGCTTCCAAACCCAGCTGGCAGTAGCTCCTCTCATGCTGTGAGCAGCTCTCATAGATTGATTCATAGATTACAAGGCTGGAAGGGACCTCGGAAGATCATTGGGTCCAGTCAGAACAAGGCACTAGCAAATCAATGGGCTGCTGCTTTCCCTAGGAGTAAAAGAGGGCGGTGGTATCTCACTTCCTAGAGCGCTTGCAGCAACAGCATGTCATGGTAAAGGGGAGAGGCAAAGCCAAGGCCAGCAGTGCTCCATGGAGCTTCACAAGGACAGATTCACACTTACACATGCTCTGACTGCCCTTTTGTAAGTGAAGGGCTTGAGCTCACTTTGCATAGCTGGTGACTGAGCTGACAGCCTGGGCTCCCTGCTGCCTGCCACAAGGGCAGAGTGAAAGGGTAGAGGGAAAGATGGATATGGTTGTGGTTTACACTGATCTGCACTGTTGCTAGGGGAGTGTGTGGGCCTCCTGCAGGTCAGGGTTTACTGCTAGCTCTTGTTTGTGTGGGGCCAGTGCAGCCTGGCCTGTGCCTCACACGTTGCTCTCTCTGGCAGGTGACATCCCCCCCATCACCGTGTATGACCAGAATGGCTTCAAGGCCATGCTCCACTTCTCCCGAGACCCCGCTCCCAGCCAGGTGAACGTACTTGTGATGGTGCTCTCTCTGCTGAGCACCTCGGCTCAACCAATTCAGGACATCGTGTTCCAGGCTGCGGTCCCCAAGGTGAGAGGTGGGCTCAAAAAGTGAAGCTGGGCTGTTCAGAAGTGCCCTGGGTTGAAGCTGTGCTGTCTGTAGTGGGGCAGCTGCCTTGGCTGCTGGCAGGGGTGTAGCAACTAGACCTGCTCACATTCCCCTGAGCCCCTGTAGCTTTGGCTCCCCTGTGCCACTGGGCCTAGGCACTTGTCAAGCATCTGCCCCAGATGCAAAGTGCAGATGTCTGCCCTAGTACCAGGATCTCATATGTGGCTGCAGGACCCTCTGGGCTGCCACAGACAAGAGTAGCTCTCCTTCACCAAGACAGTGAAGGTGCTTTCCAGAGGCCTGCATAGACTGCTTGGGACATGCACCCCTCAGCATGTACCCATTGCTCCAGGTGCAAAACTCCAGCAGAAGGTGTCTAGGCAGCAGGCCGGTGTGCCTGTGACAAGCTACCAATCTTGGAATGGTCCCAGCACTGTCCAGCCATGATTGAAGCAAGCCTGTTTCCTCTCTCCTGGCAGGCAATGAGAATCAAGTTACAGCCAGCCTCGGGTTCTGAGCTTCCACCTTTCAACCCTCTGCTCCCCCCAGCTGTGATCTCCCAGGTCCTGCTGCTAGCCAACCCGAACAAAGTAAGTGGCAGTACCGCCTTTGAAGGGTACAATGAGCAGTTGGGCACATGGGGGGCAATGCTGTAGGGACAACTAGGCAGCCTGGGCTGCCTCAGGGAGCCCGAGTCCTTGTGCATGCAGTCATAGTCCCTGCTGGGTCAGGGACAAGAGCTGTGACATTAGGATGTAGGACAGCCCCAGGTGTGTTCGTTGGGCTGGCCCAGCCCCAGAGGGAGACTGCACGGTGGTGTGTCATACTCAGGAGGCGGAGGGTGGGGAACGGGTTCATCCACCATCTCTGCAGCCAGGTCAGCTCTCCGTGCTCCCCTGGGGGAGCTGAGGGCTTCTCTGGTGCTGCATTGCCTGTGGCCTACCACGTTCGCTGCTCCTGCTTGCTGGGGTCGAGGTAGTGCCCCTTAGCCTTGGCAGAGGGGCACAGACTTCAGGACCTACTGCTGTATGAGCCTCTCTCTCTTCCAGGACCCTATCCGACTGCGGTACAAGCTCATGTTCACACAGGGCGGGCGGCCCGTCAGCGAGGTGGGAGAGGTGACCGGCTTCCCTGAGGCAGAGCTGTGGGGCAGGAGCTGAGTGGCTGGGATGACAGGGTCAGACACTGCTGCCTGGCCTCACCGTAGCTGTGCCAGGGGATGCCTGGGCTCGTCATGAGTGCCTGCGGGGACCAGTGTGTGCAGTCAAGCAGGCACCTGCGTACTGGGGACAGCCCAGGCGCTCGGGCTCGCTCCTGTCTCCATGACTCTGTTTCTTGCACTTGCTCCAGGGCTCCCTGCGGGGCCTGGCATGGGGGCGCCAGGCTCAGCACAGCCCAGACTCCCCTGTGGGGGAGGAAGCAGCCCCCTGCCCTGCCCCAGGAGGCAGGCGCTCCTGTCCCACCAGCACTTCTTCTGCTGCTGCTTCCTGAAGTCCCCTGGGAAGAAGCCACTGACACCTCCTCTCTTCTCCTGTATGGTGCCAGGGCGCCTCCTCAACCGGCTTGGAGTGCTGCGGCAGTCTCCTCATCCCAGCCTTGCTCTCACTGGTGCCTGGGGCTCACAGCAAGGGGCCTGGGTGCCAGACAGCACCCCTGTGACTGGAGGTGGAGCCTGCCCCGCTGCCTCCTGGGCCCTGAGCCTACTGCTTCTCCTGCCTTCGTCTCCTCCGTGCCTTGCCAGCCCTCGTGGTGCCTCCGTGGCAGCCTCCTCCTGGGTGGGCCCCCTGGCCAAGCAGGGTCCGTGTCTATGCAAAGCCGGGGCTGCCTCGAGGGCTCGTTGGCTCCTGTCAAGTTTACAGCTGTTTAAAAACAAAACCCAGTGGATTTCGCTGTGCCAGCGTCCAGGCTCGTTCACGGTAGTGGGGGTAGCTCTGGGGGATCTCACCAGCAGCTGCTGCAGGGGTGGGGCTGGGCTGAGGTCCCCACGGTCTGCTTTGCCCTCAGCCTAGGAGGTGCAGGGCCTGCGGGTGACTCACTCCCGCGATCCCTGACATTACTGGGGCCAGGCTGGGGGGGGTCCATGGGCCACGCGAAGCCCCTTCCCAGGGCTTTCGAGGGTCTTCACACCTCCCTCGTCCTGCGATACCGCCTGCTACGGCACACCAACGGGATGGCCAGTACGGTGGCCGGGGGGAGGGGCCCACACCGGCTGGTACAGTGGCCAAGAAGCCACTCTGGTAGGGCTGGTTGGTACGGTGGCCGGGGGGGGGGGGGGAACACAAAGCAAGATACGGTGGCCGAAAGGGGGCTCAGCGGGGGAACATGCCCATGCGGTGGCCTACAGGGGAACACACAGCGAAGGAAACAGGCCCGTACGGTGGCTGAGAAGGCACTGACTGTAGAGGCCGGGCGGTACGGTGGCCGAGAGGGGGCGCAGCGAGAAAACAGGCCCGTACGGCGGCCGGTGGGCGCCGGGCGTTTCCCGGCAGCCCTCGCGCGGGGTGTAAACAGCTAACATGGCCGCCGCTAGGTCCTTGTGAGCGCGGGCCGGGCCGGGAACGTTGGTCGGGCGAGCTCGGGGCCGGCTCCAGGGAGCCCCTGCTGGGGCGTGCTGCGGCCGGGATGGATTTCTCCAGGTTCCTAGCTGACGACTTCGAGGTGAAGAGCTGGGTGAACGGGGCCTTCCGAGCCGGACAGCAGGACGCGCCGGGCAAGGTGGACGCGCACGCGGCCACGCTCGTGATGAAGCTGCAGCTCTTCATCCAGGAGGTCAACAACGCAGTGGAAGGTGACCGAGCTCCACCGTGCTCCTTGAAGCCTTGACTGTATCAATGAGACCCGCCAAAGAGCTGGGGAAAGTCCTTCCTCTGCCCCTCTGCCTAGGGTGTCATCGGACCAGCTTCTCTGGGGAGGTGCGACATCTTTTATTAAACCAACTGAATAGTTGGGAAAAACGTTCTTGGCAAGCTTTGGGGCGCAAATACCCTCCTTCTCCCAGGTGGAGGGAGAGTTCGTGCCCAAAAGCTTGCCAAGAACAATTTTTCCAGCTATCTAGTTGGTCTAATAAAACATATCAATGAATGTAGAACTGTAATATAAATGTAAGCAAGAATACAAATATGACAGTAAAGTAGGGCCAGCCATTATAAAAGCATTATTCCTGCTCCAAAAAGTGACATCCTCAAATACAAATACGCATAGGTGGTAAGGCCGGAAGGGATCTTGGAAAATCATCATGTCCGGCCCCCTGCACCAAGCAGGAAAGGTGCTAAATCAAATTAAATTGAATCATATATGGTGATAAAGCATAAGCTTATGAAAACACTGGTCTGCAATTGATCACAGTGCAAAACAAATGTAGTGATAAGAGTTATCAGTCATATCAACAGTAAAGGGTGTTTAGCTCTGATCGCTTCAGCCTTATAAGCAAAAGTTGTGAGACAGTTTACTAAACATGTAGCTGTTTGCTGGAGAAATAACAGGTATCGCATCTCCCCAAAGAACCTTGTCTGCCTCCATCCTTAGACCAACACGGCTACAACCAACAGCTTTAAATTAGACTTGTAGGAAGATGTTGTGATCTAGGTGATGGTGCTAGGAGGAGCCAAGTGCGTGTGTGTATGTGGGGATATCTGCTTGTTAAGCTGCTTTCAGTGTCTCCTGACCTGCAGCATCTTTGGCTGTTTCAGGTCAGACTGGTCTCAAAAAGGATTGTCCCTGATGCTTGGCATCCCCTGCCACTATAGATCTGGGAGGCTTTATTGGTTATAGCATCAGGCCCTCAGGAATTTGTTCACATTTGTGAGGGTTTGTCTCATCCTACTTTACTGCTTTTTGTCCCTGCAGAAACAAGTCACCAGGCGCTTCAGAACATGCCGAGAGTCCTGCGGGACATGGAAGCCTTGAAACAGGAAGCAACTTTCTTGAAGGAGCAAATGATCCTTGTGAAAGAGGATATTAAGAAATTTGAAGAGGACACAGCTCAGTCAATGCAGGTAACTCGTCTCCTTGGTTAGTATCATCAGTGATTCCCTGGCTGGGTATGATTGCCCCAGTCTCTTGTATTGAGCAAACCTCAAGACTGGGAAGCTTTATGAGAAGATTGTCTGTGTTGCAAATCCAGGAGGGCTGTGCTAGCTCTGCAGGAGCTTGAGCTCAGGGGGTTGTGAACACAAAAGGGAAAGAACGTGGTGTTAGAAGTCAGCCTGCTTATAGGATTATTTGCTTTCTGGATTGCTGAAGCCATCCTGTTGCACTGCAGCACATCCCGAGGCTGTGGGATCCTGTGTGCGATGAGCCTTTGTGTCTTTTTCAAGCAGGACAGACAGTGAAAGCCCTTATGGTTTGGTAGCTTCTTTGCACTACAGTAGTTCCATTCCTTTCAGCTGCTTCAGGTTTTCAGTTCTTTTTGAGGAGTGTCAAAAATTGTTGTGGAGATGTTCTTCGTCTCTTTGTGAGTGAGTGGTGATGCTTATTCAATACAAAGGCAGTTGGATTTCCTAGAGCTGGATGGGGCATGGGGAGACCAGTGAAAGGCTTTTCTCAGGCAGATGATGACCACTCTATGGTGGAATTGTGAGGTGGAAACATGGGGGACTAGGGTGACATCTTTTTATCCATTCTTATATGCGCTGAGTACCAAAGAAGTGCATGGTGAATGCAGGACCCTTTCTCATCTCTAAGACGAGTGTAAGCCACCAAAAAATAGAACAAACTGTGACAGAAGCTGTCGTGAACTTGTTCTCCCAAGTGACTGAGCTGTGAAGCACAGAAACCTTGATTGTCTAATTCAGTTGCTCTCGTTATTTATAGTGTGCTGCGGAGTGTTTCTCATATAGAATGGATACTTAAGATATTTAATTAAGAATTCCAACCTAGCTTAAGCTTTTTCAGCATGGACATTGATTTTAATCTCTTGGAGAAGGAAATTCTCTTGTTTTGTGCAAGTCCCCTGAATTGTGCCTTGTGAATCCACCTTAGCCAGCTTCCTCATGAAACTACTGTTTTGCTATTTCATCTGCTGTTTAAACCTATGCACAATAGAGCAGACCTGCTTCCGTTCCCAGATCAAACAGCTTGCATGTTTGCCTCCCATTCCATTGGGCAACAGCTTCATCTCTGTTTCAGGTCCTGGTGGAGATCGATCGAGTGAAATCCAGAATGCAGCTGGCTGCCGAGTCACTCCAGGAAGCAGACAAGTGGAGCACGCTGAGTGCAGATATTGAGGAGACCTTTAAAACTCAGGTGGGTCCTGGCATGAACCTGACCATTTCCAGACCTTTGTCCATTGTTGCTTCCAGAATGTTGTAGTGAAGCCTGGGACTTGTTTGCTACTGTCCTGATGAGCCCTGTAACTTGCTTTGGTGGCAGGACGTGTCTGTGATCTCTGCCAAGCTAACCAGCATGCAGAGCAGCTTGGCAATGCTTGTGGACACACCGGACTACTCAGAGAAATGTGTGCATCTTGAGGCACTGAAGAACCGGCTGGAGGCCCTGGCCAGCCCTCAGATTGTCGCCACATTCAATGCTCAGTCTGCAGGTCAGTGCAGCTCAGCTTCTTTTGTTTTTAATATAGATCGTTTATATGCAGGCAGAGGGGAAGCTGTCTCCTAAGGAAAATTAGGATGCTCTAAACAGCAGTGGGGGGTGGAGCAGCCTTTTCGATGAGCTGGCAGATTGGGATAGCCTTGTCCTTCCTGATCACCCTCTCTACTGCTGAATTTGTCCTTTGTTCTTTTCTGCCCTGCTCCTTGTTTTGATCCTTTTCTCTGTACATGCTTTTCTTCCCTGGCTCTAATGTGTTTGGCTGGGGTGAGGGGGAGAGGGGTGTTGTCTGCCAGAAACCTGGCTGTTGCTTGGAGCAGGGATGAACAGCTTAGGGCAAGTGGCCTGAAGCTTGGGGTGTGTTAGATGTTCACATGCCTGCTATGTCTGAGGGCACTGGGAGCAAAGGGAGAGATTGGCTGCTTTCAGCAACTGGCTGCAGCGTGGCCTGCAGTCACAGGCAGACACTAATGAGTGTGGTGGTTGGGGTTATGCAATTTTCCATTATGCCCCTGAACAACGCCCAGGTTAGCAAGGTGCAGCTGGTGTGTATCTAGGGTCTCTGCAGTTGCCTAACTGAAGTGCTGCCAAATGTATCCAGTGCAGATCCATGTTGTAGCCAAGGGGCAAATTCATTTGGAAATGGCTTGACTCTCTATTGCCTTGTAAAGTTGCATTCTAAAGGGAGGGCATTTTTGGTCTGTACTGACTACCTGCCCCTATCTTCATGCCATCAGCATCTTGCCTGGGAAATGTTATCTATTTCTCCTGTTCCAGTAGGACCTAAAAGCCCCAGTAGGTATCAGGTGCTGTTGTGCTGGGTGCTACATAAACTCAGGCCAAGAGGTGGTCCATGCCCCAAGGAACTTGCTGTCTAAGTGAAAGCGTTGGTATTGAAAGCTTTGTATGCTCAGGTTCTTAACAGAGACACTTGACCTTTTCCCATCCCACTACCACCACCATCTCCTCTCCTCTTTCCCCTTCTCACTCCTCTTCTGTCTTTCCCTGCCACTCCTTACTCTGATCTCTTTCCTCAGGTTGTGCTCCTCACTGTTCCTCTTTAGTTTCTGTATCCTGTTGCTCTCATAGGGTGCCTGGCCTTTTGTAGGCAGAGGCAGGGGTACAGTAAAGTTTCAGAAAGTCTTCTCCCTTTTATGGTGAAAGCCCCCCAAAAAGAGCAGGTTAGAAACAACCAGCTTGATGCTAATGCTCCTTAGCAGGATCTCCAGGTGGCTGTGATAGGAAACTGCCAGCAGATGGCACCTCTGCACTGGACATGTGTCTTTTACTTGGGCCAGTTATTCAGGGTGTTTCACTGGCTTTGAGGTAAATACAGCTGCTTGCATATTTCCCTGCTCAAGTCCCCTCTGGAGCAGCTGGCAAATGTACTTTTCCTTTCCTTTGCTAGCATTTCTCGGGCTTTTCTAAGGTGGAGTTTTTGTTGGACCCTGTAGTGCAACCCTAGTGCAATCCAGCAGCAAAACAGAAACAAGGTTTTAAACTGGTCATTGAAAACACTTGTGAACCCAGCTGCTTGCTGTAGAGACAGCCATAGTCACTGCTCCAGATATACAGAGGGAGCAGGGAGCTCTGGCAAGTCTGGATTGGCAAGATTTGAGAAAGTTCTAGCTGGGTCACCGGTCAAAGTGAAGAGGCCGCTAATTTGGGTGTTATTGCAGGGGGTCAGTGAAGGCAGAACTGCAGACCTGCCAAGGCCTGGAGAACCCTACTTGTGCATGGGGAAAAGACACCAAATCTTTAGAAGGTTTCCTACTGTTACTGGGGGCTGGAGTCACTGCCTTACTAAGGGAAGTTGAAAACTCATTGATCAGTGTTCTTCACTGCCTACACTATAAGCATAGATTCAGAGGGCCACTGTGCTCCTAGCTGGAAGGAATGGGGTACTCTGAGGGTCTCATCGCTTTCTCCACATACTGTGATGCAATCCCCTCCCCACCCTACCCCACCCCACTGGATCCAGGCTCTTCTGTTCTTGGGGTGGAAGATTTTTTGTCTAATTTGTGTGTCATGCAGGTTGGAAGCTGACCTGTTAATTGATGTTTGGTGCTTTTTCTTTGTTTAGATCAGGCCAAAGTGTTTGTGAAAGTCTTCACTGAGATCGATCGGATGCCCCAGCTCCTTGCATATTACTACAAGTGTCACAAGGTATGCGTGAGTCTCCTTTGAACCGGGGCTAATGAAATATGGCATTGTTACTTGCTGTAACCTGTAGGGGGAGCTGCCATTCTAGGCATGTCACTTGTCCAGGTAAACTGAGGATGGAGTCCCCTGTCTCATCCTCTTGAGCCTGCTCCTGGTGCTGCCAGCTTTGGTTACTCCCCCCGGGGGTGGGGGACTTTGGGAATAAGTTTCCAGAAGACTCCTTGTGTGCTTTCCCCAAGCAGCAAGCATTCTGCATGAGAAGGACACTTGTCCAGAAGTTTTCTGTGCCCCAAGAAAGTGTTTGCTTTTTTTCCTCCATTCCTAGCTTGGGGTTTCTGGTAGAAACTTTACTGGAACTTGCTGGCTGCCGAATTTTGCAAGCTTTTGTCAGGCAAGGCTGGAGAGTGGAATTCTGGACAGTTGGGTGATCTTAACCTGATCCTTCAAAGCCTCTCATCACTGTGGCTTGTGGGGGGATTAGGTTCAGGGCAGGGACCTGCCAAATACTTCAGCTGTGGTGTTGGTTTCAGTCTCATTTATGAGCAAAATACCAATGTTAATTAAACCTGTGAATGGGCCAAGAAGCCATTAGCTTCATTTTAGAAGCCTGAGACCCTTTCAAGGTGCAGTACTATAGCAAGGGCACTCACTGTTTTTGAGGACAAGCAGCTTGCATTAGAATTGTCTACTCGAGGTACGTAGGCCCAGTTCTGTAATGTGTGACTTCTGCTACCCTTGCAGGTGCAGCTGGTGGCAGTCTGGCAGGATCTTTGTCAGAGCGATTTAAGCCTGGATCGGCAGCTGACTGAGCTGTATGACACTCTGCTTGGAACATGGCACTTGCAACTCCAGTGGGCCATGCAGGTACAGGTGTTACTAGCTAATGTCAGTGCAGTGCATAGGAGGGCACAGGACAGGGATGAGCATGGGCCTTCTAGTGATAATAAAGCTTGGGCTGTCCCAGTCTGTTCCTCTCTGATAGAGGACAGGCTTGGAGCTTCTTTCAGGTTCTAGCGCATCTGCCCTCACAGACAGGACTAGAGCGCTGACTAAACCAGGGGCAGCAGCACTGTGTTGTGGCTGTTAGAGCTGCTCTATCTCTTTTATCTCTATCTTAAGTGAAATCTAATTAGTCAGTACTGCATTTTGTACTGTTGCAAAACCTTTGAAATTCCTGAATTTCATTATTGCTGGGCCTGGAGGAGACCCTGGAGGATCACTCGACTGGCTTGTGGGGTTCTGTCTGAGTAGTGGGGGGGCTTCTGCCATCAGCCTGCAGCACTGTGCAGTACAAGAAAACTGGAACGGCAGTTTACCTTGCACACCTCCCCTGAAAGGTAGTTTGCTTCCCTCCACATTGACCTGGAAACTTTGTGCCAGATCTTGCTGAGCCCATAGGAGTTCTCACCCATGAAGGGTAAGGGAGATTTTTATCTCCAGATTATGTAGCTTGTAATAAGTCTTGAGACTCTTTCCTGCAAAGAAAGCCAGCCCTTTCTTGAAATAATGTATTTTTCCCTGCATAATAATTAGACATGAATCATAGTTCAGATGTTGACTTATTTACTGCCATGTTTTGTTGGAGCTTGCTTTTGTGATGGGGCTTGCCATCAGGGCCAAAGCTTGTATCACCCTTGGGTTTTTTTCTGAGCCTTCATTTGAACAATCCTTTGGTATAAGTCATTTCTCTTTCCCATTCTACCTCCTGTCCAGGCCTTCCCACTGTGGGTTAGACCCAGGTCTGACAGTGAGATGTACAAGTGCTGAGAGACAGAAGCTGGTTAGTCAGTCAGACAGAACATAAGATGAGCCCCTGCAGGTAAAGATGAGGGCTGTATCTTGGGAACACGGAGCTGGCCTTATTGTGGTCTAAGGGCAAAGGTTCCTAGTAGGTTACATCTGTCTGAGTCTAGAATATAGTCCTTCCCAGCACTAGCCTCTGCCTGCCCTTGCTGTGGGATGCTCTGTCCCATTTCCTCATGCCATATGCATTCTAAGGTGCTTCTTTAAACTATGTTTAAAGGCAGAGACCCTGTTTGCTACTGCACTGCTGTTCCATTGCCCACTGTTTGCCTGTCTTTCACTGGTCCCATCTCTCATCAGCCTTATAGATTTGTTGCTGCCTTAGACAAAGTGCTGAGTGAATGACAACTCTGTCCCCATGCAGTGTCATCAGCCTCCTCTGTACATAGGCCTGTCTTCAAATATACTCACCAGCACTAGTTGGGATTGCACTAGCTAGAGAGGATCCAGTGGCGTGTCTGTATGCACAGTGTAATGTTCTTGGCCTGCCTAAGCTGCCTGCAGATAAGCATGCTCCACGGTTCTGCTTTGGGGTAATTTGACTCCCACACTCCGTGCAGGACTCCTGTGAGCTCTCGCATGGTTTTTGTTGACCAGACTGCTCTGCCAGCCTTCATGGGAAGGCATTGGCCTGTGGCTGAGGCACCAGGGCTCTGTACAGAACCTGTGGGCTGCTTTCTGTTGCCAATAGTATTTCCTTGAGGTGATGTAGGCTCTGCTAATAGCTTTTTTTGCTCACGCAGGTTTTCAAGAACCCCCACGAAATCGTGACTGTGCTGGTGATCCAGACGCTAGGGGCATTGGTACCTTCCATCCCTGTCTGCCTCAGCACTGCAATGGAGCGAGCAGGTCAGGAAACAAAGCTGACGAAGCTGCTGGAGCTCTATGACACCACCCTGCACTTTGCACAAGGTCTGGAGGTTGCGATGCTGCCTAATCTACGTAAGGATTGTTATTTTCAGTGTTCTGCTTTGCTGCGTACGGTATTTGTGTAATCCTCTGTTAAGTCCTGGGGTTTTCTCCATGGAAAGTACTACTTCAGAAATGCAAGGCCATTGTATTTATTCTACAGAATTTACTTGGTACATGGTGTTTGTACCAAAACATGTTTAACTTGCTCTAAATATGTTGACACAATCACAATTATGTTTACTGAAAGAGAGCTGATATCGCCTCAGTGCCTTGAGTAAATAATACTTATCACTTTTCTTTAATGAGTGTTAGCATTTCTTTCCCCTCAGACAGAAAAATTGAGTTAAAGAAGCTGCTTGACTAGTTTGGACCACAGCAGCCAAAGATTTGGGTAGTTTCCTGAGCTTATACCATACTTCTGTAAACAAGAAGTTGTTTGCTGTCTCAAATGCTGCAAGGGAAGTTTTGTTTAAAAAACATTTTCTTTGGAAGTCAGAAAAATTGAAGGTGCCTTTCTGTTGATCCATGTGGTTTAGTAGAGCCAAATTTTAGCCAAAATAAACCACTGGGCCAAGCTTTATTTCTGAAATATGTATCAGCCTATTGCCTAAAAGGCTCAAGGTGCCTTGCAGGACAGGTAGATAGCATTTTCCCTGCCTTGAGGCATTTGTGGTCTCATTTCAGAAATGACTTGGTGGGCGATGGTTGCAAACTGCGAGAGATGAGGGAGGAGAGAGGATGAGGGCATCAGTATCCAGACCACGCAGTAGTAATTTAGGCTCATGTACAGTTTTAATCTGTGCTTATTGTAGGATAATCTTAATTTGGCAGGGTCCCCTGAAAGGCAGCTTTTGGGACCATCATATTTTACAGCTGATGTGTCATCTCTAATGCTGTGTTTCCTGCCTTTGGTTGCTTTCTGACTCTGTCTTCAGCTATGTAATCCTAGCTTTTTAACTAATTGCATTTAATTGTGATGGCTTTGGCATTCCAGGAAGTGTGGCTGTTTCATCCGTGTACTCTGCCTATCCTTCTGATTCAGTATTAACATTCACTACAACCCACTGGTTGTACTTAACTGGGATAGGTAGCAAAGAATTTGGAAAAATGAGGCCAAAGTCTGTAAGACCATGGATTATAGGAAACTAGGCACTGAACAGTTAGCTGAGTAAAAACAGCATAATTTATTTACGTATCAGCTTGCCAGAAGGTAGTGTGCTTCTAAAACAACATAGTGGAGCAGAAATGGTCCAAGAATAGGGAAGCTGAGTGATGGATTGGCAAGGAGATATAGGTTTCAGGTTCACTCAGTCTTGGCTGGTAGTGACTGTGCAGGGGCCTACGTGGAATGAGTTGGTGTCATTCATTTGAGGTAGGGATCAAGACCCATTAGGCTGGGTCAGACACAAGTTTGGGCTGATGCTGCATTTTGTCACTGGATAGTGGAGGCTGGGATGGGTGACAGCTGGCAAAAAGTCCAGTGGCTCAGTTTGGTCTTGGGCTTCCCAGAATATGACTTAAAATTCCCTCAAAGTGCTTCTGGAATAGGAGATCTTGGCCTTACCCGTTTGCTAAAAAAGTGCTCAGTTCAGCTTTACAGCTGTAGGCATTGTTCCAAGGTGTATCCCAAGGCACTTGGTACACTGGGTGTCTGCACACAGCTCTGTGAAGGTGTACTGCGTGCCACTTCAAAACAGCTGCTTTAGCAGCATGCTCATTTTTTATAATCTAGGCTTCTGATTCCTTGCAGAAGAACATAACTTGGTAAAAGTGATGGAACTGGTGGAAGTGGTATATGGTCCATATAAGCCCTATCAGCTGCAGTATGGAGACCTGGAAGAAGAAAACCTCCTCATCCAGATCAGTGCAGTGCCCCTGGTAATGTAATGTTCTCTCCTTCCTCTGCATATTATAAGGTCACGGGTCACTGCAGGCTGGTGGTTGATGCATTTGTTTTGAGTCCATAGCTGCCTTGCTAATCTCCTTAGGGTGATCAGAAGGGAGCATGTTACCATTGGTGAAATGCCCTGCTTTCATCAATGATTACTAGACCAGCTAAGGAGCGTATTCCTGTGAACTATGCCAAGATGTGGTGTGATGTTGTTATTTCAGGGGAACTCCTAAAAGGAGGGGTGGGGATGAACCTTGTGTGTCTTCTGTTGTTCAGGAGCACTGGGAAGTAATTGACTGTGTCCAGGAGCTGAACCACTCAGTGAACAAAATCTTCAGCTTGGCTTCTGCAGCCATCGACAACTGCATGAAACTCACTGATGGACTGGGCGTGTGTGGACTCCTCAAGGCCCTCAGAGCTCTTTTTGCCAAGTAAAGCAGTTCTGTTTTGCTAGCATGCTGCTCCCAAGAGTGAGGGAGTGTTCAGTGGGTGGCTGAACATGGGGAGGGGAGGGGGTTTCTTGTATTGTCAGCACTCAGGCATGTTTTATATAGATTGAGAAAGCACTTTGCATAATCCCTGTCTGCATGATCTCCTGTTCTGCCACTTATCTCAGCCAGCAAAGATGTCTCAACGTGTTGTTTCCAGTGAAAAATGAGAGATACGTGGCAACAGAAAATGCTCCTAACCAGCAGTTCCCAAATTCTGACAGATTGCGTACCACCCATTTAAAATAATACAAACTTAAGTACCACCAGCAAACTTTTGTCATCTAAAGTAATTATAATAAATCTGTTAATGCATACCACTGACAGGTGGTCTGCATACCACTGGTAGTACATGCATCACAGATTGGGGACTGCTGTACAGCTGCAATCGGGCTGAATTTGTCTGCAGCAGCCTGTAGGAGGAGTGGGGTGGGGGCTAAATTAAGACAGTTCCCAAACAAAATGCTCCCTGTCCCTTGCTTCCCCTCTGGAGAGGCAGGAGAGAGAACAGATGTTGCTCAGTGCATGACTGCAGTGGAACAGGAGCAGCCTCAGAGGCTTTGGCTCATCTTTTCTAGAGCTGTCGTTATGGCTTGTGACAGCAGGAATTCCCTGCTGGCAGTGCTGCAGGTTGGTTCCCTGTTGTGGATGCAGAGCAGGCTACTGTGACTGGTGCGCTGGGCTCCTCTCAGCCCCTGTGTAGGTTTGTCTGTGTCACTAGTCACCACGTATACCTGTGGGGGAGCTTTAGCAACAGCACCCAAACCCACATTCGCCCTCCAACCTTCATTTACCCCAGTCACTCAGCCTTTGACTGCAGGCACAAGTGAGGTATACATGGCCCTGCACAGTTTGCAGGCCTCTGGGCACCCTTTACTGCAGTCTGGCAGAGCACAGTTTGGGAGTTGCTGGGGCAGGGCAGTGAATGCCTTCTCTGCACTTCCCCTGTGAAGGGCATCTTGTTCTTTGCTCCTTGTTTGAGACAAAGAGAGCAGCTTGCAGCAAATGCTACTGTCTTGCTCTACAGCCTGAGGGCTTTTTCCATGCCTTTTTTTTGCTCTGTTTCTCCCATAGGTATGCATCTGACTTCACCAACACTTTGCAGTCTGTACGGAAGAAATGCAAACTGGATGATATCTCTTCAGATTCCCTCTTCCAGGAGGACTGGACTGCATTCCAGAACTCCATCCGGTAAGGGGGTGGGCAGAGTTGGGCTCCTGGGACAGCAAACACTGAAGCTGTCACTTAGCGTTTGGCCCTGAGTCAACTCTGAGGTTTGTGTGAAAACTGAAGGGGTAAAAAGTTACCCTAAGATGGGATTCTTCTGGGCTGTGGTGTTTAGCTTCCTTTTCTCTGGGTTTGGCAGGCCTTCCTTGGAAGAGGGAAAATCCCTACTCTTACCCCATTTTGGAACCAAGGCTCAGATCCACAAAGCACTTAAGCACCTAACTCCTGAACACCTTGGTGTACCTGACCCCAGTCCTTGCTGCTAATGCTGACTCTTCTTTGCCCCTTCCTCTTTAGGTCTAATTGGAGTGAAATTTAACACATGCTTTTGTTCCTGACAGGATATTAATGAAACCTCTCTAGCGTTCTCTCATTTGACCCAGTCTGCCCGCCAGAATGACACAGATGTGGGCAGTAGTCTTTCTAATTCACCTGCTTCTGTAGAGCGAGGCTGCTTGATGAGGCGAGGGTGTGACCTGGGTGATGAAACTGGTTGCAAAACTAGAGTCATTTTTGTTCTTAATTTTTAAGGGTGTCTCTTCCAGGGAATGTAGCAGTGATGGATTTACGGGCAGCTTACTAAACCTCAAGGCAGTTAGAGGCACGACTACTTTATCTCTTGGATTGCAGCCACTTTAAGGCTCAAGGAAGGAAGGACACTCTCTGTTATAGGCCTCTGATAGGATCTGCTGTAAGGTTTACTTGATATCAGACAGTTGTGGTTACGATGTGACCCACCTTATTCAGATTTTGAGAGCGAAGCACTGGGCTATGCCTACCTTGCACCTGTGGTAGCAGCCCTAGATAGTTGCTGCATTTGAAATGCCATATAGCCCAGTCCTTGGAATCTGTAGTTAATGGACAAGCTGAAAGAGCAATGTCTCCCCTCAGGAGAGCTCTTGCTTCTCCTCAATGATGAGTTTTTCCTTCAAGCCTCTTGTATAACAGAGCCAGGTGAAGGGAGGGAGACTTGGTGCTGTCTGCCCCAGGCGTGACCACGTGGCATATTTTGTTCTTCTGTCTCCCAGAATAATAACAACTTGTGGCGAACTCCTTCGGCAGTGCGGGGACTTTGAGCAGCAGCTAGCAAACAGGTAAGGAGGGCTGGAATGACCACTTGTGTATCCAGGCTAAAGGAAACAGCCCCCAGGGGCTCCCTCTTTAGGCAGGTGGCCAAGGGAATGTGAGAGCCTTTCGCTAATCACAGCGAGCAGGTTGACTGATTTAGTGGATGGTGTCTGTTAGCTGACACCATGTCTGCCAAGATGCAAATGTGTAACAATGGCTGATAAAATGTAGGGCTGAAATTAAAAGAAGGCACTAGCTTGAAACATTGCAGGTTATTCAATGATACTGGAAGAATATTTTTTCCCCTTGTGCACAATTGGCTAGAAGCTTTGCTTCCCCTCTGCCTCCCCCAGCCACCAGAGACTGGCCACAGCTGGGCACTGGATGGAATGGACCACACTCTGAGGCAGTATAGGATCCTCTTTGGGCTGCCTGGCCTGCGTCTTGCCCACATGTTAAGACAAAGGGGCCTGGTTTGGGGGTGAGAAGGAATTTGTGCCCCCCCCCGCGCTCAGACTGGTAGGGCCCTGCCACCCTCTGCAGCACAGAGCATGGTCCACCTGACATAGCTCTCCTAATCAACTCCCTGTTGTTTCTGGCACCTGTGCCACAAGTGGCACCTTCATTTTCCCCTCTTGCTTTCTGCCCCTTGTGCACAGGTCAGGGCTGAAATGCCTTTAACTTAATGGAGTCCTTGGGGGATGTTGGGGGATCTGGGTGGAATCTAATGGCCTCTGATAAACAGCAGGTAAGACAGGTGAGATCTGCTGGTCTCATCTAGTCTTAATGCTGAGGGACTGTTAGAGAGAGAGAGAGGGGGCCATGGATAGGAGAAGTGGGCCAGTGCAGATGCTTTGCTGCATAGGATTGAGGCATTTGCATTTGTTCCGTGGTAGCAGGTCAGTCAGGTTTCCATCAGTTGTTGCTCTTGGGAGCCTCTGGTGTTCCTCTGAGCAGTGGATTGGTGCACCTGTGAACTTGTCTGCTACAGGCACCTTCCATGGCAGCCAGGACCATCTTGGTGACCTTGGAGAGCTCTGAGAGCTGTGCAAAACAATCACAGCTCCCAAAGCTTGCAGCAGTGCCCATGTGCAGCAGTGCTGAGGCTGCTGTGTGTTCCAGAGAGGATAGTCTGCCAAAGGGCATTCTGTTGGTAGGGCACA